GGGAGAGTGGGCCTCTGCTCCCAGATGCATGCCCCCTTCGGAGACTGGGGGCGTTTTCTTCTTCACGAATTCGGGACCCCCCCGGGTGTATGTGGTACCCCCCTCTTCATGGACCTCGGCACCCCCTTCTCATGGTCGACTTGGGGCTCCCTTCCCCCGCATGGCCTGAGGGGGCAGGGATCGTGCCCCCTCCCCCTCCTGCCTGCACTGGGGTCACCCCCTTGGGTCCAGACATGAGGCAGCCCTCGAAAAACACCTGTTTGCTTTCCCCTTATTTGTCGAGTACAGAAGGACAGCGACACCGTCGTGCCGTGGCATGGCACTCGGGAAGGCCGCGGCAGGGCAGGACGTCTGTCTTCCTCCAGATTCCCCTCTGCCGTCTCTGGGTTTATCCTGTGGCTAATATTTGCGGGGTGCCCCCTGCCCCCTCCCAGGTGTTGAAAAGTGCAGCTCTCGTAGCAGGGCAGAAATAGCCCTGCGAGGATCCCAACGAACTCCCCCACAAATGCACTAGTTAATCTGTAACCTGTGTCCGCGGTCGCACAGGGCCAGATGTATACTCATTTTAGTCAATAGCACTATTCTTCCATGAGAACTTAATTGCTATGAGGATCATAATGTAGTCCCACTCAGCAGACCCACCGTTACTGAAGATGAAGAGTGGTTGTGGACAGACAGGAGCACAGGACCCTGACTCTGCCATTGATTTATTTATTTATTTTTACAGGCCATAATCCAAAGTCTGACAGTCTAATTGCTTCTGCCGAATGTCTTCCTTGCAGCTGTTGACTGAGCAGTCATTGTTTGTTGTTGTTCTCCCCTCCTCCAAACCCAAAGCTTCTCCAGTGTTTGGTGGCCAAGCTTTCTGACGTTTGCCTTTGTCCCGTGACGCCCCCAGGTAGTTCCCCCAAAGGAGTGGAAGCCACGGCAGTGCTATGATGACATCGACGAGCTGGTCATCCCAGCACCGATCCAGCAGTTGGTCACCGGGCAGTCCGGCCTGTTCACTCAGTACAACATCCAGAAGAAGGCGATGACTGTGCGGGAGTTCCGCAGGACTGCAAACAGCGACAAGTAAGAGAGTTTGTGCTCGCTGCTTATCACGTCGTCTTCGCTCGTGTGGGCTTTGTTTCATGACTTGGCTGAAGCCGGGTCTGTGCTGGGAACTAGTGGATCTGCGTCTCCATGAGGGAGTCTTCCCTTTCGACCTGTTGCGGCAAAGACGTGCAACACTGACGCACCCTTAGCGTATAGTTGGATGCTTCTGAATAGAGGGAACATGTGGGTGGTGTTTATTTTCAGCAGGAATAAAGTCTTTAGAATGACTGCTGAACTTCCCATAATGAGCACATCTGTTGCCCTTATATGTTACATCTACTCTCTTCAGTCACAAATGTAAGACTGCTGTGCTGCTTTTGGTCCTGCAAAGGCTATACAATTGCATTGTGTTCCTCTAGCAGAATTATTTACTGAGGCTTATTAATTAATGTTGTCTAGTTAATTCCTGTTAAACAGGTGTGAATGACCATTTGGTCTAGAGAGCCTATATTACTGATCTTGTGCAAACAGGAGCATTTCGATTCTATGCTAAACAGTGAGAATCAGAAAGTGAAACTGTTTGACTAGTTTCCGTTGTTCAGGGCAGTAGAGAAATACAGATTGTAGATAAGCCAAACGAAAAGCAAACAAGACTTAAACTATTGTCAATTTTCAAAGTAACTTGTTTTTAAAAAATGTATTTCCTTCAACAAAATGAGTTTCAGAATGCCAAAAGGGTAGTGCATGTTGTTTAACCTAATAACATAAGTCAAATTATATACTTCTTGAAAATCTTAACTTTTTCTTGGCGGTACCCTGGGTCTTGATTTTTCAGCAGCATCTGGAGACCTCAGCTGAGATTAGTGTCTTGTTTGTGCATTGCCAGACAGCCTGAACAGATGAGACAAAAAGCAGGAGAGGAAACAAAGGCACAATATTGAAGTGACCTGCCCCAAGTCGTATGGGAGTAGGACATGGGTCTCTTGACGAGCAGAGTAATATACATTGGGTGAAGTCCTAATTGCATACAAGTGATGGGTTCTGAATTAGGCATTACCCTCTCGGGAGAAGAGATTTTGTATCTCATTGTAATAGTTCTGGAAACATCATGTCTATGTGCAGGAACAGTGATTGAAAGGACATTATGAATAATTAGGAAGGGAATTTAAAAAGAAGCAATATTATTATGCCTTAATACTGATTTATGGTGTGCCCACCTCTTCAATATCGTGCAGTTCTGCTCATTCCATAGCAAAAAGTTTATATATAAAAGTGAGAATAGGCACACAGAGACAACAGAGATGATCAGGAGTATGGAGCAGTTTCCGTGTGAGAGACTAAAAAGATTAGAACTTCTCAGTTTGCAAAAGAGGGGCTTAAGGGGATGTACCAGAAGTCTAGAAAGTTGTGAATGGTGTAGAAAAAATGAACAAAAAACTGTTATTAACTAGGTTTTATAACATAAGTAATAGTGATGAAATTATGAGGCAGCAGGTTTGAAACGAACCAGGAAGTATTCTTTCACAATTCATGACTTGTGTTATTTACCCCCACTATATTCTGTGGCAATGATTTCCACAACTAGGTTAAAAAGGGATTAGATAAATGTTATGGAGGCTAGACCCATTGAGACTGTTCAACACAACAGTCAGGGACATCCCTAAACCTATGACTGCTGACACCTGGGAAGGTATGGCAGGGGTGAATCACTTTATATAGGCTGTGTTTCTTGTACTTTTCCCTAGAAGCATCTGCTCTGTGCTGCTGTCAGAAACAGGGTACTGGGCTAGATTGGCTCTTGGTCTGGCCTGCTACGGCAGTTTTTGTCTCTTGATCCCTGTTCCAGTGCCCTAGCCATTAACTAGTATGATAAGCTATTCTTGAGAGAGCCTTCCATCCCCCTTGTCTTAATGCTGGAAGACATTGTCATGCATTCTGTTGTACTGAGTGGCAGAGTTGTTCACTGATGAAGTGAAACTTGATTATGTTTTAGATACTGCACGCCCCGCTATACTGACTTTGAGGACCTTGAGCGGAAATACTGGAAAAACCTCACATTCAATGCCCCTATCTATGGTGCTGATGTTAATGGCACACTCTACGAGAAGGTAAAGAGAAACATTTTCAGTCTTCTGGTAACATAAACTTGTGAGTCTTTCAGTAGGTCTTGTCCCTGGCAGTCAGCTGTCTCTCTTAGGTTTTAATGAAGTTTGTAGCAGACTGCTAGTTTCCAACATCTATTAACTGCAAATTTAGTAACCTATATTTCCGTAACTCATTTATCATTTATCCTAGATAGCCAAAGCAGGCTAAAAAAGGCTCATCGCTCTAGGGCATCTCTGATTACCCAGATTTTAAAACATTATTATGATATAGTTAAACTCCAGGAGCAAAATTCTGTAATGTATAGTTAAAGCATGGAGTTGACTTAATGGTGTTATGTACTGGGGGACACAGGTGAGCCTGAAATATTGGCGTATATGAATATGTACTGTGTTTATATCCACTGGGGTGTACAGTTCTGTGGGACTCCTTTATAGTTGGATAACCTAGTCATTGTGGTGTGTCACTATCAAGCTATAACCTGCTGATGGATAAGCATCAGAACAGAGTGCATAATAATGCAGTTACACTTTGCTTGTTAAGCTGTTAGAATATTGCAGTACTTTAAAAGAGGCTTGGGAGGAAACACGTGACAGTTTTGAATGACTGAAGTCCTCTGCCTGTTGAAGAGAAACAGTGTAGTCAAGGGTAGTACAAGCTTTGCTCACCTGCCCTCAACAGCTTATATTTAGCGGGTAGAGGATTTCAGTTTTATGATGCACTGGCTGATCTCGTGTTCAGTGAGAGGGTGAATTAGTAGGAGTTTAGCAGTCAAGTGTCATGTAAGACTTGAACTTAAAAAAAAAAAAAAACCAAGAAAGAAAGAAGCGACCAGAAAGCTGAAGGTTTTGGACTGGGGAGCAGAAATGAGAGATTGTTCTGTCCCAGAGTGTGGTGTAGCACTAGGCCAGTATATTATAGCTGATATCTTATTTATATGGTTCTGTCCTTGCTGGTTCTTGTGTAAAATGAGCTCCATGTTTTACAGCATGTAGATGAATGGAATATTGGCAGGTTGAACACAATCCTGGATGTAGTGGAGAATGAAAGTGGCATAACCATCGAAGGAGTGAATACCCCTTACCTCTACTTTGGGATGTGGAAAACCTCCTTTGCCTGGCATACTGAGGACATGGACCTCTACAGCATTAATTACCTGCACTTTGGGGAGCCCAAGTCATGGTAAGGTTTCCTAGAACAGCTCCAGAATCTCACTGGAGGGAGTGCCATCAACTATTGGAATCTCTGGCTGGAGGTGTGGAGGGTGGTGGGGGGAAGAAAAAAATGGTGCTGATTAGGAAAGTGCTAGATATTTTTCTCCCTGGCCACTGCTGTTACTTACTGCATGGAGCAAGAGGAGGATTGCACATGGAGTTTTGTGTCTGAGTGTACATAGTGGACTTGGTTCATTGGTTTGAGTGAGTTCTAGAAAGTCAAATTACTGCTCTCCGGGTATAAAGGAAGTACTGCAGCGCTAGGTTGTTAGGGTGGGTAGGACCAAAACACAGAAACCCTACAAGTCCTCTCTCAGAACTGAACACTACATCTGCAGGCAACATGGCAGGCCCAGTAGTTTGTCATGGAGAGTAATGGCTTTTAATCAGCCAGTGCAGTGTAGCTGTGCTTTCTATTAAGACTGACAGGCAGGTGGATCTGGTATGTTGCTGGTTGTAGCTGCATGACTTTTTGGGGCCCAGAGTGTGTAGGTAGGGCAGAGGTTCTCAAACTCTTTTCACAGTATGGATCATATCTTTCTTCGTAGAGAATCATTCCCTCCTACACACTTTTTTTTCTCTGGCATCTTTCAACAATTGGTTGTATGACCATAATATTAGAAACTAGTATTTATAGCTGTGTTCTAATGCAACTTGGCAGCTGGAATTTCTTCACTTCACCTGTGCAATAGTCAAACCTGGGGGGTGGTCTTGCTGGGTTTCTCATATCTGAAGTTGAAGTGGATTTGTTTGTTTCTGTTTAACCTCCAAACTCTTGCTTGCCCCCACCTTTAATTGACTTGCTCTCATGCCTGCAGGTACTCCATCCCTCCAGAACATGGGAAACGGCTGGAGCGACTTGCCAAAGGTAATCTCTGCTTCCCTCTACTCTGGTCCTATGTCCTGCCTCTACCAGACAGCAATATGTTCAAAGCTTTCTTGAGGGAACAGTCTAGCACTCATAACACCACAAATGATAATGTGGGTTGTCTTTCAGTAGTTGATTCCTGGGGGAGGAGCAAGACAGATGTCACTTAACATGCATCTTTTGTATTTATCACTTAAGTAACTAAACATAAGACTATAAAACTGCACTTAGACTGTGACCCAAAGACCAGTCTTTGTTCTGGTTTGTATGTCCCTAGAACAGTGGTGTCCTGATCTCTGTTTAAGGCTAGGCGGTACTGCAGTAATACAAATATCTTTTCATGCTGTTGAATTTTTGCCCATACGCCATGGAGTGATGATTCTCTGATGATGCCTATGATTATGAGTTAGGGTCATTGTTCTTGCTTTCTGACTGAGGCAGTAACAATACTCTTGGTTTTGGGTTCCCAGCAGTACAAAGTGATCATTAAATCTCCGTCATCTGCTCCTCTTTGAAATTACTAAGAAGATGACACGCATTCTTTTTTTGTTGAATTCTGTGAAATGTCTTCAAAGGTGTTTTGGATACATCTACTTGGCTGTACCTTTTCTCCACATATGTAAACTTTATTTGTAAACTTATTTAATTCTCTAAAATAGCAAGTTATCTGTTCATTGCTCTTACTTGAATTTTGTTGAAAGGCAAGGAAAGAATATCTAAGTATCCTCACCCTTTTTAGAAAGGGTAACTGCATGCTACCAGTATTGTACAGAGGCTTGTGGCTATTCTGCTGCTTTTTTCCTGCCTGCCTCTTCCTCATGGTTTGGAATGGGATTGCACTCAAACAGGCCAGGGTTAGAACACTTTGTTTGGGCAGTAACTTTACTGCTAACAAACTGAGGAACTAACTTCCTGGATTTCAACAGAACACTTTAACACTCTCCATATGCTTCTTTTTAAATAGGATTTTTCCCAGGAAGTGCCCAGAGCTGTGAAGCTTTTCTCCGCCACAAGATGACCCTGATCTCTCCATCAATACTGAAGAAATATGGCATCCCCTTTGATAAGGTGAGGGAAGAAAGGCTATGATACTCCTGTGTCACCAATTCAGACGCGTGGTTCTCAATCTCCATAGGGATTTTTAAGGAGGGCTGTGGGAAGGTTGATGGGGGTTAGAGGGGGTGCCTCCTAAATCAAACAGTAAGATTATACTAAAAAATACTCCTTTCATTAGCTGTCATGGTTCAAGGATATGAGAAAAGCAAGGTTTATGAGGTGAAATAACTGTTTCTTTATTGAGTCAATCTGTATAGTTGGGGCAGAAAAAGACCGGACAGGCTGCTCAGACGTCAAGCCCCCTTCATTAAAAAGAAACACAAATGAATTCTTGTGATACATGTGTAGGTAGGATTTCTCTTGCCAAAAAAGTGCTCTTCCTTCCATTGTTGGTCTGTGGAAGTGAGTGCAGATTAAATAAGTGAAGAATGTGTTTTGGAAACTGTTGGGTGTAAGTAATAACGTCCCATCTCAACACTTGACCGTAGTGTTCTTGACTGTAGTGTTTTTGGCTAAAATATGAATTGAAGAATATGAAGCCATTTGCTTGAAAGTGGTGTTCTTTTTCTCCTGATATTTTCCAGCTGCTGCTGGGTCTGTCCAGTATAGTGAGAAAAAAATGTGAACCCCTAAAATTAGCTGGAGGGAGAACTTCAGACTTTTTTGCCTAAGAAAAATACACAGGTGGTTTGTACATCAAATGTAGGGGAATGTGAAAAGCACTAATCCATCCATGTCGGCTGTCTTCCAGGTAACACAGGAGGCTGGAGAATTTATGATAACATTCCCTTATGGTTATCATGCTGGCTTTAATCATGGGTTTAACTGTGCAGAATCTACCAACTTTGCCACTCTTCGGTGGATCGAGTATGGAAAGCAGTCTGTATTAGTAAGTGGTCTTCTGCTCTTCTCTGTTACATATGGAAAAACAGTCCGTTTGACTGACTTTCATATATTTTTGGCACCTTGATACTTCAGCCGCTTTAGAACAAACTGTGGTTCTTACCTAATGTGGGTCTGTACCTTCATACAGTAGCAGCATGAAATGGGCCTAGTGATGTACTGCCCAATTGGTGTACAGGCATCATCTAGGATCTAGGTTAAGAATTTAGAGCATGATTGCATGCCTGCTGTTTTAAGACAGGAGAGATGCTGTTAGACTGTTACTGCTTGGCCCAAGGAGCATCTTAGAGCTCATCTAAACAGCTTTTATACTGGTTTGCTGAGAGATTGCGTTGTCTTACTGAAATAGTCAGATTGGCACTGCCCTCAGTGCAGATGCAACTGTATTGCCAAGAAAGTGCTGCATATCAGTGTAGCTTCCTGCACACCCCGTACAGGGCTAAGATGTGTGAATATGACCAACTTTATCCTAGCATAATTGCATTCATGTCATGGGAAAGGATTGTGGCTTTGGCCATAACAGAAAGGTTAAAGCTGTGCAACTCTTGTGTTCTAGATGAGCTTTTAAGCAGACTGTTGGAAAACTCTTGCTTAAAAATGGCTTCTTTGTAGGCTTGGCTGAATTCAATTTTTATTTTTTAATAATTTTGACAGATAATAGTGTTAGTTTTAAGCATTTGTTTTGATTTTTTTTTATCAATTTTAAAAATAAATTAACATAAAGAATTTCCACCCCTGGGGTGGCAAAAACCCCCCCATGAAAAAGCCAAGAGAACACCCAAACTTATATCTTTTCTATTTGGAGACTTTCTCTCCATGTACCAGTTTCATGAGTAGGCTGCTTTGCCTCCTTTTTTACAGTGTCTTCCCTGTTCTCTGCAGCTGAGTTGTCCCACTGTGGTGTCAGGAGTTCCTCACTGCTATTTTGTCTTCCTCTCCCCACTCCAGTAGGGGTTTTAAGTAGCCTGTTATCTCCCACCTCTGAAGAACCAGTTAATTGCTTAATTGATAAGTCATTACGCCTCGGCTGTTTTCCTCTTTAGCGAGACCTCTGTACTCAGGCCTTTAATTCCCTTCTGTTCTTCCCCTCTCTTCAATTATTAACGACGGAGATATTTTTTTTTATTAGTCTGTGAGTGTGAAGTGAAATCGACCTTTACTAATAAAAATTGAATCCTGCCAAGCCTACGTATTGGGGAAGCACCAGAGCCACTAGGACTAAGTGAACACCCCCTTTTGCGGTACAGTGCTGAAAAATGCAACCTGTCCTTAGTCGTCTACTCTGGGATTTGCTCACTGCTTGGAGCTAGCTAGCCCTGGATGTAATGCTGAGCCAGTCATAGCCAGTGAGCAGAAGCTTAAAGCCGGTCTCTGGGCCTAGTTGTGTCATCCTACAAGCTGCAGAAATTCTCACCTCTGCAATATTAAGACCAGAGGCCCTACAGCAGAAATCCTCCTAATGGGGAATTGTTCTGACAAACTGCCAAGCTAGGGGTTTCACCTTAGATAAGTGGACCCCTGCATGAATAAGCCAGTAGATGTAGATGTTCTGTTCTTGACTAGAAACCTCTCTCTCTTTCTACAGTCAAGATGTGTTTTTGTATTCCATGACTGTGGGCAAGTTGCCTCATCTTTGTGCATAATGATTCTCACATGGGGACAGTGCTTGACCTGTGTGGGCTGTGAGACTCAAAGCTTTCAAGTCTTTGGAAGATATTTTACTTCAGTTGAGTTAGAGCAGTTGATGACAGTAAAGTAGTACTGGATTTAAAAGTAGTATTCTTGGGTAAGTGGCCTTACATATTCTGTGCAACTGCAGTGTTCATGTCGGAAGGACATGGTGAAGATCTCTATGGATGTTTTTGTGAGGAAATACCAACCAGATCGCTACAAGCTCTGGAAAGCTGGGAAAGATGTGACTGTCATTGACCACACTCTTCCAACACCGGAGGCAGCCGAGTTCTTCAAGGGGGATCTCATCCAGAAAATTGAGACTGAAAAGCAGTGCTCTGATGAAATGGAAACAGGGGAGCCATGCAAAGAAGGTGAAGATCTGGAGGAGAAGAAGAGGTAATGTTAAATGAATGGTTGAGCAGGCTAGACGAACACCTTGCTGGGGTCATTTGACCCCAGTACTTTTTCCTGCCATGGCAGGGGGTTGGACTTGATGATCTGCTCAGGTCCCTTCCGACCCTACCAACTATGAACTAAATGCGCGGTGGTGAATGCTTTCCTGTTCACTGATTAGCCTGGGCAGCCTCCTGTGCTCTCATACTTGTTGTTCCAGTTTGGCTTGGTGCATGTCTTAGGGAGAGGGTTCACTCTTGGTAGGAAAGTAGGGCTGGAAGGGACCTCGGGAGGTAGTCTAGCCCAGGCCCCTGCTCAGTACAGGGTCATCACCCAACTAAACCATCCCAGCCAAGTGTCTGTCCAACCTGTTCTTGAACACTTCCAGGGATGGAGATTCTACAGTCTCTCTAGGTAGCCTGTTCCCACCCTCAGAGGCAAAGTTCTTCCTAATCTTCAGCCTAAATTTTCCTCTGCTACAGCTTGAGGCTTCTGCTTAATGAAAATATTAAACAATACCAGTCTCAAAACAGACCACTGGGGAACCACAATGGATACCTTCTCCCAAATAAATATTGACCCATTCAGCTTATTTTGGAGTGTTTGGATCCAGGTGGATGTGCTGTGCCCTGCCTGCCATGCAGCACTGGCTTGGATAGCCATGACTTGCATGGTAGGGATATTGTCAAAGCCTGAGATTGGGCAGGTGTTCTGTATGTTGGAGGCCAGGAGAAATAGCCACTGTATTGGACCTGTGGGAATCCATGGCTAGTGCTAATGCTGGATGTGATATGCATTTCCTATTCATTGCTGCTTAAGAAATCATTGCATCCCCAGAAAGATGGGATGCAAATGCTGGTGTCCCTGGATTTGATTTAAGGGAAGAGGATGTCTTTGGACATTGCCCTCTGTTAATCGTGTATTGTGAGGCTCAGGAAACCCCACTGGTGGTGACTCATTTAGTCTCTGAAAATAGAAATTGTTGTTTTGGAATAGCCAGGGTCCTGTGTAACTTGCAACTTCTAGTTTCTAAAATTCAAGGTATGGGGGTATAAACCTAGCCAGCCGTATTTCAGGTATCAGTTTGATGCCTCATTCAAGTATTTGTGACCAGTAACTTCTGGGTTTGTCTCCTACAGTCTGCCTAAGCACCGCATAGGAACCAAGAGGCACAGGGTCTGTCTTGAGGTGCCCCAGGAGGTGAGTGAGAGCGAGGCTTTCCCCAAGGAGGAGCTCAGCTCTGTGCAGTACGGGATGGAAGTCACAGAGCCTGCTGTGGGACCGAGTAGTCAGCTTGTGCAGCAGGATGAACATGGACTTGCACCTCCAGGTAACTTCCTCTTAAGTTTCTTCCCGGTACGATGGTGGATTATGTTAAAGTTAGGGAGGTTAGAGTCACTGGTATTCAGTCCAGGTTATTTCCCTCTTTAAATAAGAGGTCATTTGTTGGCCTTTTGACAGAGACACGGACTAGTTTATTTGCACCTTGACTAGCAGGTGGGAACAGTGAGAAATGTCACTGTTGTGTGCCCTGGGGTCGTCTTGTTTCAGGAAAGAAGGTCCCTTTTGTAAAAAGCTCAAGTTGCTGCCCTGCGCTGCTTGATGTCACTCCTGCCTCTACAGGTGGGGTATGTGGAGACCACTGCTTGTCTTAATGGTTGAGTTTAGTCCCTTGGTGTCAGTGACTTTTTATTTGAGACAAAAGTGCCAGGATTAGAGACGGGGGAAGAGCCTAGGTATGGTCCTGTTGCATCTGTCCAGATACTTAATGCTGTGTCATGAGAGCTGCTTATTTATAAGGTGCCTTTAAAGGGAACAAGAAGTATTTAACTGAGTAGTTCTTTAAGAAAACTGGTCCTCCTACTTTTCCAGCCTTTCTACTTCCTCTGTCTTTCCCTAGAAACACACTGGAAGCCTCAGCAGCCATCACTGTGTAGCTTCTCACTGATGTTAGACACAAAAGGCAGAGGTGGGGGGAAAGGGCCAGGGTTATGGTTGCCAGTAACACATGTACGTATCTTCTTGTAGGATTCTCCCAGCTTTGCAGCAGGCTTCTAAGCCATGTGTGGACCACCAGGCAAGCTGTCTGAATAATTCAGCTCCTCTCTTCCTGGTTTTGCCTTCTGCATCCCTTCTGCGCTGGCAAGGGACCTCCTGCCTGCGCGTCTTCTCCTTCCTCATGTTGCCTTACATTGACAGGCATAGGGCATTCTCCCAGCTGCTCTGATCTCATGAACACTCTGCACTTTTGTTCCAGATTGTGAGGACTCCTCTGTCAGATTTGAAGAACTGAAAAATGTAAAGTTGGATGAAGAGGAGGAAGAGGAAGAAGAGGAAGAGGAGGAGGCAGCTGCACTGGATCTTTCCATTCCCCACTCTGCAAGTTCCACCTTGGTTCTGTCTGCTGCTAAGCCGAATTCAGCTTTGTACCTTCAGTCCAGCTCCCCAGCGTATTCTGCTTCTTCTGACTCTGAATCAACCAATCTGCTGTCAAGACAAACTGTTCTTGGTCCAGCCAGAGTACTTACTGTTCACAGCTATGCTAAAGGGGATGCCAACGAGGCTGACGAGGAACAGGCTTCAGGGAAGAAAGCCAGTGCTACAGCCAGTATGAGTGAGCATGAACTGGCAGAGGTATGAATGGGAGAAGGTAACAGCTGAATTATGGTGGATGAGCTCAAATTGCAAGCATCCTAGCTCTGATAGTTTAAGCTTTGAATTCCCATGATGTCAGTACGAAAGGTCTCCTTGCCTGAAAATTGCTCCGTTATGTGATCTATCTCACTAGAGCAAACTGTAACTTTAAATTTGGATATCATCCCATACCATCAGTGTTAAAGTACTGTCTCCTTGCAGACTGAATTGAGACTTAGTTCCCTTTTGAGATGTATAATGTTACAAAGGGGCATAGATAGAAGAACACAATGGATTTGTCAGACTTTAAATCTCAAACAATGTTTGAAAAGATCTGTCATGTTGATAAAAGGTGTCTTAGCCCAACAGAGGATAAAGGGTTTAATTAAACCCTCAATCATTCTTGCAGTTTTCACTGCTGGCTTGCATCCTGTATACCAACAGTCATTCTATCTGTTAGAGCTTTTACTGAATGCATGCAGAAGGAAAAGTTAGTGCTTGCAGCAAGAAGGGAATTAGCCTTGTTACCTGTTCATTTAGGAGCCCTGCCTGAAAGTTTTTTCAGGTATTTTACTTGTTTCTTGTGGGGAAGAAGAGAAAGCCAGCTCAGGCCATTTGGTGGGGGTAGTGTGTGCGCTAATCCTAGTTCATCTGAAGTAAAGAAATCTGTCAGTCCCTCCCAAAAGTGATCACAACTTGATTATATTGGTGTGCAAACAAAATCTAGACACTGTATATACTTGATGTTTTTAAAAGCCTGGTTTCACAATGCTGGAAAACGGTTTCAAATTGGGAACACGTCAAATTCTCCTAGCCATTGATTCATATTGTTCTGTTTAAGAGAGTTTTACTGGATGCCCAGAAAACCACAACTGAGAGAGGCTACACTAGTTAAAATCCATCTTGGTTTACTGGGGAAGCAAAAACTACCCCTTTTCTCCCAAACTGGAAGGGGGGATTGTAAATAATGAATATGAACTAGAGGCTGGGGACTAGGAAATAGATACGGAAACTGATAGGAAACACGGAGGAAACTGGCCACCAAAGGTAGGAAAAATGAGAAGTTTCTAGCATATTGGCTAGAAGGTTTGTCCATTTTAGGATGGACAAGCTATTTTTTTTTAATGTAAAACGGCAGAAGTGTTTAATGGGGGTTGGACTAGGCAAATTATTGAGGTCCCTTCCAGCTCCACAACTCTGATTTCTATTAATATTTGTTTGTATAAAGCAAGGGGCAAGTTGTATTCCTGCCATAGGATAATTATTGCTAGATATGGTTCTTAGGAACAGTAGGTATGGTTTTCTTCAAACAGGATTTAATTCTAGGAAGTTTCATAGTCTCATAGTTGGTAGGGTCTTCATAGTTTCTAGGGTCGGAAGGGACCTGAGTAGACCATCAAGTCCAACCCCCTGCCGTAGCAGGAAAGAGTACTGGGGTCAAACGACCCCAGCAAGGTGTACATCTAGCCTCCTCTTAAAGACCCCCAGGGTAG